CCAAGCGATAAGACTGTCGTCCAACGCAATAATTATGCATTGTTTTCCGTCCCAGTAATCATGTTGCTAACATCAGTTTTCGCATCAACAAGGACAACTCAAACACTAGCAACATGTCGACTGCAAGATATTTCGAATAAATACTAAAAAAAAAAAATTAGTTGTTATTTTTTTTTTGCTTAAATAAATGTTAATAATATTCACTAAGGCTGGCTTAATGGTAAGAAGTCTAAAGACAATTTAAGGCACAGTGTTGTGCCAATCTTGCAAGTGAAGTTCGTCTGTCTGCTTTTAAAATTGCCTATTCAGAAGGTTAATATTTACCGAGTGTCTTGATGCAGACAGGAAAGGAGGAAATAAGTGAATCAATTATGCAGTTAAAGCCATTTAGAAATATTTGCTTGCAAAACAGGCTATTTTATGCATGACGAACTAAATAATAATCGCTCTACCGTGGGCGTTTATATTTATATGTAAATATATTGACCAATTTATGGATATTTAACAAAGCTGCTCATTTTGGTGTTGGAATACCTGTGGGAAAAATATTGGTGGTGCACCAAAAGTTGCACATATTCTCCAGAGTCGATAAGATCATCTTGCTGTTTATTCTTTTATATGGAACCGAAACCTGAGTCATCTACGACGGCCAATATCTTCAATCAGCGTTCACATCATTTCGTTCTCTAGATATCTTGTAAGTCCGTCGGTTGAGTCTATAAGAATTGAAGTTATTGAAGGTGCAAACTTATTAGGACGAAGAACGGAAAGACTGTGAACTTCCAAAAACTCCGTCCTTAGTAAACTGTTGGTTGGGTGAGCAGGAAGGCAACATCGAAAAGTTTAACCCACAAATTGCCCAATCCCTAAAAATGAAAAGAGAAAATATGCTTTACCGCCAGTAGACAACAAACGTTATCGACAGAGATACAGTTTACCAAGCGACCACAATTTTAGAATCAAACAGTCAAATATCTCCATAAATGGTAGGTCTTCACAGATTAGACTTCACATTTGACTATGAAAAATAATTTTAGCAATAAACACACCAACACACACGCATATATATATATATATATATATATATATATATATATGTATCAATGTGAATCTATTTAAACTCGGTGTGTGAAAACACCTGGACAGCACAATTTGAAACTAAAGGCTTCTGAGGAAAAATTGGAAAACAAAAGAAAGAACCAGAAACCTAGAAACAGGACGAAAGAAATCGTCCATTACCTTAAATTCCTGGTACAAAGGAAAAAAAACAGCGAGTAATAAGTTAAAACGAAGAGAGATCAATTATTCTCTAAGTAGAGCAAAAGGAAAATAAATAAATCCTAATGAGCCTGGTACTACATATATATATATATATATATATATATATATATATATATATATATATATATATATATATATATATATATATATATATATATATATATATATATATATATATATATATATATATATATATATAGGTAGTATATCATTCAAGCATGTTTCGTTGAATAATCTCAAATTCTTTTATAGATTTCGTAATCTTGATAATAAATTCATTAAGAAATGCACCGTAATTTTTCTTTTCTTTTCTTTTCATTTTTATTTTCCCAGGTACTTTCAATCTCCCCCGGTACCATCTTCAGGAGGGAATTTATGATTTTTTTTTCTTAGCAATTCATCTTTGAAGATGATCGTAGAAGGATCATCGACTTCTTTCTTGATGGACTTAATGTTAACATTAAGAAATCTATTAGAGAATTCAAGAGGATCTAAATAAAAAATCAATATACATAATATGTCCAGATTATTCAAGCAAACATGATTATATATATATATATATATATATATATATATATATATATATATATATATATATAAGATATCCGTCGATTTTGTTGCTAATATGTACATTAAAAATAAACACTAATCGAATTTAATAACTTATAAGAAATTATATAATTTCTACCTCGAATTTAAGTTTCATTCACAATTAATATCTAATAAGAGTCCTTTCTAATTAAAATATAGGAACATATAATTTATATAAAAAAAAATTATTTATGAAAAATTTACTTATTGTGGTTTGCCGAATGGTATTCTTCTGTTCATCATATAATTGGAGATACTGAGAAATTGCCGCTTCAGATTTTCCAAATATATCATAATCATTAGTATTTTAACCTGAAAGTTCGGTTTATAATCTTTCCATAATAAATGCATACATCTTTTATATTTCAATATTTCATAATAAATGTAAATTTCTGTATCTAATTAAATCGTTCATTTTTTTTAAACAAAATATCAGATATTTCCTTTAAAGATCTTTAAAATAAACATGAAAAATATCAGAATATTCAAAAAACTTTAATAGATACAAATATTCAATGTATTTTTATTATCAGCTTATATTATAATATTAATTAATTTCTTAATTCTGTATTTTTTAATTAAAATATAGATAAATATAAGAAGATACAATAAAAATGCTATGAATTATTATTTATTAAGCTGATTTTTTTATGAAAAACTTATTGAGGATGGTTTTGTTCTTCATAGAATTACCTTAGAAATTAAATTTTTATCGATGTTATTCCAAATATTTATAATATCTTTTAATTCATCGTTATTGTAAAGACGTTACTTTCCACTTTAAATAAATTCAAACATCTTATTCATTTCGATATTTCTTAATAAATGTAAATTTCTGTATCTAATTAAATCGTTCATTTTTTAAACAAAATACCAGACATTTTTCTTTTAAGACCTTCTAAATAAACAGGAAAAAATTCCAAAAATTTAATAAAAAAAAATATTCCAAAAATTTTAATAAAAAAAAATTCAACTATGTTTTTTTTTTAATTATCGGCTTATATTCTAAAATTTATCTATTTATAACCGTCCATTTTTAACACTTCTGTAATTACTTAGATAATGTAATACTTGATAAAACAAAATATTTACCCATTTTTCAAAATGAAATTTTATAGAATTTTTAAATGGTATCATCATAATGGAAAGCCACTGATTAGTTTTTGACCACCAAAAATTTAAGACAGTTAAATCTTTGTGTCCGTTGTAAGAGAAAGAATGAAAGAAAACTGATAAACCAAAGCCTGAAGCGGAAACAAAGGATGAACCTCTACTCCTGTTTGATAGACATGGAAAGTATGCGTACTGAACGATAAGTAAGCCTATCTATTCCTCTTAGCTTATAAAAAACATTGCGACTGAATTCATATTAAGTAATGACTTAGGTTCTGATGACTACTAATTACGAAAAAATCAGGATGGTAGAAGTTAATTTTTCAGTATTGATAAATAACAGTGGGTAAGCATATTTTAAATTAAGCAATTTGGTAGGACGGGCTAAATAAAAAGTTAAATAGCAATGAAGAGTAGAAAATAGAAGCAATGATAAGTGAAGACAAAACCAACAAAAGAAAAAGAAAAAAAAACAATATTAACAAAGTATTAAACATCTACAAACAATATCATAACAAATATTCAAATATGCATTTTTATTGTCGGCTTATATTATAAAGTTTATTTATTTATAGTCGTCCATTTTTTAAAATTACTGTAATTACTTACATAACGTAATACTTGGCAAACAAAATATTTACCCATTTTTCATTTTTGAATTTTAGAAAAAAAATATTTATTTGGTAATTATAAAAAAAATCAGTTTTCAATTCCTAAGGTTAAACTGAAGAATGTTATTTTCCGCACACATCGAGTATCATGTATGCACTAATCGAATTTAAGTATAAAACTTTTTAGCGAACTAATCAAAAACGCATTAATCGAGGGATTTCTGTATACATAAACAAGTTCGATTAAATTCAATTGGCAACGTCTGTCTATTTAATTTCGTAATATATTTTCCCGATTTTCGAATAACATTCTGTATATTGAGATCAATTTGTGTACCAACTCTCCGAAGTTCATGTTTCAACCATTTCAGACATTTTCAGGAAGTTTGTGGTACCCGCATAAAAGGCAAGATACCGTTGTCGACAGCCTTGTATTCTTTTGAATAGGAACGCCATGTGTAATAGCTAAGGGGAGCTAGAGCTCATAAGAAATGAATGCATCAATATAATGCTTTTTTATTTCATTTTATGCGCATATAAAGTTATTCGTGTACATTTAAAGAAACCATATCCTGTAGTGAATTATAGTTTATCATTTAATGCTGGTTGTTTATTTTTCTATAATAATAGCTTAAACCTTTCTTAAGATTGGATGATGTATCCATAGTATTTTAGTCTTATCCAGTAATAATTATCTTATGCTTATAATCGTATTTTGTTATACACGATATGTGCATGAGTTGCACTGAGTTTCGACAGGTGGCAACTCAACAGACATGAGTGTGGTGTACGAGTGGCTGATGTGAGAATTTAATGCTGCTTGTAACTGTTGATATTAGATATGCAATTTCCCAGAGGGAATGAGAATTCATAAACAACGTTATTTAGGTTCAATGTTAGTGATAATAATTAAATTAGTTGTTTGGTACGTTTTATAGTCGGCGAATAATATATTTAATTGCTTTCTCGTCTTGCTTATAATTAGGCTGTATATGTCGACAATAAAATAAGATTATGAAGAAATTTTATTTATATTAAGATCTTTTTTTTTTTTCTAAATTTTGTTAAGACTAATTTTGTTTGATTTTCAATGAAACACTTATGGAAGTTATTATTGTCAAAGATTTGCTTAATTTTGCTTAGTTCGTTACAGGATTATGTCTCCTGGAAAGAGATTATTTGTACTCTGTAAAACATATTTTTGAAAAGGTATTTTTATATCTATTCGGGCGTTCACCTTTTTAAATGAGTAGTTACTATATTCTACTTGCGTTTTCTTTTTCTCTAAGAAAAATAATAAAAATATGACCGATCTAATTCTAGGAAAAAAGGTGCATCATTTTTGGAAGACTCGTTGTAAGATATGTATTGTGTAATTCAAACGACGAACGAAAATATTTAGCCATGCGGTACGTTTGCCAAGGATTTTCTTTTCCTCTTTCTTTTTTTCTATTGGACAATGAACAAGTCGTTGATAATTTAGTGCGTCTGTGGCAACTTTTACGCCAGGTCATAACGCTTTTCTCTTTCGCTCACTTGAATTTGTGAAAGCTTAGTGTTCTTTTCCTTTCTTGGAATTTATTGCGAATGGGAAATGCAGCTGATTTGTAATAGCTGAAGAAAAGCAAAGAAAATGTTTTCAGCGATTAGTCAGCAAGTGTGATTTCGTGGCAAAGAGACCACAGGTGAATCTAAGAGAGATTAAGTAGAACGAATTGGCGATGTTTCTTCAGAGAATGACGACGAAATCCATTCGTAAGGCTTGGCAAAAGAGGAACATTTATAGTGGACGCACTAATTACAATCGCGCTTTTTCATGCTTTTACTGATACCCAGGTGTGAAAAGCGCTGTTGGTTAAGAAATGAAGTTGTCCATATTTTTCAATCTCTATTGAAATGAGTAGTGGGATATTGTAATGTTTTCTGAATCACGTTGCCTTGCTGTTTCCATTAAGAACTCAATCTATCTTAACACGTTCTATATTAAAAGTTACTGTTAACATTAATTTACATGCACGTCTTCGACAAGATTACGCGTTTGTCTTTGAGACGTTTGCATGAAGTTGGTAGTTTGGCTGATTCCCAACCTTCAGCCAAATGTCTTTACATTCTTCAGCATTTCTCTCAGTTATTCATTGCCAACCATATCTTCAGTCATTTTCTTAGTGGCCATTCCATATTTCTTGTGTTACAAAACTGCATGAATTTAAACGTGCGACTAGGTCGGCATCTCAGTCCCACCCTTTCACTTTCGAAACGGTTAAATGTAGCCGTTGCTTCTACTCGAATAGCTTAATGTCTCGCACTTCCCGTCTGTGAAACTCCCTTCCTCTTACTCGCTACCCTGATAGCTATAATATCCAACTATTCAAATGCAATGTCAATCGACATCTCCAAATGCCTTGATTTATTCCCCATCCTTCTCTTCATCCTTTCATCTATCATTCTTCTTTACTCTTGCTCTTGCTCTCTGTAACCTCTTGCGTCCTAGTGGCACTCTCACCTTGCTTGGGGGTGAAAAGCTTAAAAAAAAATTCACATCTAGTTTCTTATTCTAAAATTTAGTTTTGTGCGACTTAAGTTTCGTTGTTTTACCAACTCATCAGGCACGAAATATGGATTGTTTTTTAAAATTATTATTTTTTTAAATCTTAAGTAATATTTCGTGCCTGATGAGTTGGTAAAACAACGAAATTTAAGTCGCACTCCAAATGTAGGTATATGTATATTCATTAATATATATTTCATAGCTCTGTCTAACCACATTGAGCGCTGTTATATTTACACCTTAAAGTAAATTTGGTAAATATTTATTTGCTTACCTGTGTATGTACGCTAACGCGCACATATACTGTGGCTAATATCTAGTTATTTGATTTACCCACCCCTCTCTCTCTACACATACACACACATACTCACGCACGCAATATATATATATATATATATATATATATATATATATATATATATATATATATTGTGTGTATTTAGGCATTCATGCACGTTTCATTAAATAATATTGTCTATATTATTTAATGAAACGTGCATGAATATATATATATATGGAGAGAGTGAGAGAGAGAGAGAGAGATAGAGAGAGAGAGAGCACTCGTCGGCCTCGAGAGGCCATGGATCTCTGCCCGACGAGTTATGAACTCTTCAGGGCGCAGGCCTGGACACGGTTTATTATATGAGAGATTGGCAGTTTCTTATGCCTCACGTCTCCTCTCTCCGCGCCACTGGTTGCCCAAAGGGAAAGGCATAGGCCGATTCTACATAACGTCGTCGAAGGATTTGCCAATACGCACAAAATTGAACATGAGCAGATTTTCTTAGGGACTCCAGGTGCACATTTGAATTCAGTTGTTCTTTGACTAGACTGGTTGCCAACCATGGCTACAGCGCCTAGACTTCCTTTGTATGTATCCATAGCTGGTGGGGGAAAGGCATAGTTGGAGGTTTTGAATTCAGTTTTGCCTTCTCCTAGACTGGTTGCCACCTAAGGATCCAGTCTGTCCTACTATTTTCCCATAGCTGGGGAGAGAAGCTATAGATTCATACTTTTACCAAGGGTATTATCATGTAAGTGAATGTAATAAACACGGCTAGATTTCGGACCTGGTCTCTGAGTCCTCAATCAGAGCCGCTCTCCGTTATTTTATCATGCCACCATAATATTTATGACGGAATACCCTGTCAAGCAGGACCCAACTTTGTGCAAGATTAATTTTGGTCTTGCCTCAAGAAAATACATCATTATGAAGCCTTGTGCCAGACTATGCTAAGTTTAAAAACCTAATGCAACACTTATAGTAACACTAGCATTAATCTCACCTCATGGAGTTGCCTTACTGTTGTGGCCTTTTGCAAGACTATGCTAAGGTTACTAAAATCCTAAAGCAGTTTATGAGATGAGTCATCGACATCATTATCAGTGCTTTGGACTGCTTCAATTATTTGATGACAGAAGAAAGAGACAACCTCCTCCACGTTGATCTGCTGATCTGTCCTGTTGTTACTTTGAATCTTTTCCTTATGATTCTTTCAGTGGGCTTTCAGATAGCTTGGCAGCAGCCATCTCATCTCCAAGCTCTTGATTGACAAGCATAGACCATGGAATATGGTGTGGTTAGGCAACATATTCCAAATGAGCTTCTTCAGGTTTTGAACTCAGAGTTGTCTTTCTCCTAGATTGGTTGCCACCCAAGACTATAGGCCCAATCTGTCCTGCTATATAGGGTGAGAGAAGAGATGAATTCATACCTTTCCCAACAGTATTTACACGTAAGTGAATGAAACAAATTTGACTAGATTTCAAACTCTGCTCTCTGATTCCTCAGAGCTGCTATCCACTACTCCTGTCTCCTATACTTATTTAACTGAATATAACGTCTCGGTTTGTGTAATTATTTAACAGCAAAAGGAAAGTTTATCGTCTTCGATCTTGAAGTTTCCGAAGTTAAGGACAATAAAAGAAGATTTATTTTCGCATCGGAGAACATTAATGAGTGAGTGACCAAGCCGTTCTAATAAAAGATGCCACCACCTATCGAAGAGCACCCAATGAAGTTTTGGGTGCAATAGAAAATTTATAGTTGAGAACTTCCACACAGAAACAGATTTGAACGGACTATCGTAGTACGTGAACCCCGTCAGTATCGTAGATTTTTACAAGTATAAGAATCTTGAGGTTGCTCACGGAATAAAAGCATTTTTCTGGTTTGAATCAATCTTTCACATTTATAAACCTATTATTCGGCGGCCACATCTGGTCTTCTACTCCGGCGATATAATCCGAGATTCTCGACAAAATCGAAAGAAGAATCTGTAATGTTTTCGGTCCTGACCTGGCATCTCGACTTCAGTTACTTTCACACCGTCGTAGCGTGGCTTCCGTCTGTCTTTTCAGCAAATATTTTTATAGCAATTGTTCTAATCAGCTTTCTTATTTTGTTTACTCTCTGTTATATAAATTGTATGCATTGTAAATATTTATAGGATTTCGTTTATAAATATTGTTCTTATTTAAGGAGGATCGGTGGAGTAATGGATAGCGACACGGATTACATTCACTTACGTGCTTATACTCATGGGAAAGGTATGAATCCTCTTCTGCTCTATAGCCTTGAATGTCAACTGGTCTACCGTAGAAAGAAATGGAAACCAACTGTGGGGACAAACTGTGTCTCGTCAGTCATTTATCGAAAGATACATGATGGCCTAAGTGTATATCACGCATAGCACATAACTTACTGACTGTTCTTTTTAATCCCCGACAGACAAATTGTACATATGGGAAATACTTAGGACTACATAGAGACTATGAGGTATTATGGTGACTGTAGTATAAATGGTAAAAATGTGTTGTTTTGCTATAAGGAATACTCTGGTATGTTTGGGTTAGTAATCTTAGCTAGCTAAGTTTCAGAGAAAACAGATTAAAGACCAGCCTTTCTCTACCCACACTTTTGGCCTTATGCCACATTTTGTATTATTGGAAATAAATATTGCTTTCTTTCTTGGTGCCTCGACTGCAGGAATTTAAGCGTACTACTAGACTGGTAGTTAGGTCTCATCATTTTACTGTTGAAATAAATATAATCTTAAATACTATTCTAATACTATCTTTTCTCGCTTTTTTCCTGTTGAAATCGCTTCTTATTTTTTGCTTCCCTGCCAAGTACAATTATATATAATCAGAATTCAATCTCAAACGCAATTGTTTTGCCTTCCTGAACCCGTTCTTTTATTGTCCTTTCTCCTCAATAAAGCCGTCTCGTTCTCTTTCACTCCTAGTAACCCTTTAGTTACGTTATCACCTTGCTTAGGAGTAAAGTGATTTTAAAAAAGAACTGTTGCATTGTTGAAAACTTCATCAGTTTCATTTATGAATTTAGAAAGAAAACGCCTGTAACAATAGCTGCCCTAATTGCACTAAAGGTGTAAAGTATATGGATACCTACAGCAGTGTGACAGTAATCGCGCGGACTGTACAGTGTTTGCCATAGATACACACGCGTACACATGTATAAACTTTCGAATATACATTATCATCTCATTCTTACATAAACAAATTAGATTTATGATACACTTACATACATAAAGCACTATTTACGTTTTGTCACTTAAGCTTGGAATCCGTTACTTTCTTCAAAACGACACGTCGTTTCTCCTTGGATTCGGAACGCCATAAATTATACTAACGCTATTTAACAAGTCAACTGCACGTGAAGCCTGATTAACCAAATTCGCACAAAAGAAAAAGAAAAATAGCAGAATTTCTTTCTTTCTTTTTTTCTCCATGCCCCATTCGCTGATGAACTTTAATAAAAGCGAAACATGTTAGATTGATAAAAAATTGCTGTGTGTTCTTTATTTTATCAAAAAAGTTATAGGTTATGTAAAGATTATCTACATGCTAAATTTACTTTATACGAACGTGTTGAAAACCTCTACCATCTGCTGTTATATTTGGTAACAACTTTCCATTACACGCGATATTCACCTCATACAAGGCCCGAGAGCCACTCAACGTAGATGGTTACAGATTAAGGGGCACATTTTATGCAGATATATGGGGAAGATAAAGGTTAACCCTAAACTTGAGCAGGTTAGGATTGTAGTGACCAGGAAAGCATCCCCTTGGGAGTCAGTTCCACAATGCAGCGGTCCGTGGGAACTTATATCTGACCAATGGAATACGAAGGGAATGTAGGTGGTTCGCTAATATGTGTGCAGCATGGCGGCCCCTAGGTTAGAACTTGTGTAACTAAGGTAGGTAGTTTCGTCTGAGCACTTTCAAAGGAAATAGCGATGGAGCAGTGAAAGCGTTGGGAGATTTTGTCTATGAGAAAAGGGGTAGTAGATAGAAAATAATTTGTTACCCACAAGGACGTGGAGACGCTTCTGGTCTCTATCGAAAAAGATTTGGTTTGGTTTATTTTGTTTCATGGCATATCAACCTCAATGGGTTATTTAATGCCGACAACATTTTTTATTATCTGTCTATATTTCTGAGATGAGGTATTATGTACATTAATTACATTATTCGGACTATTGTCCTCATCTTTGTTGCCATATTTATTACAACGTTTCGGCCGTTGTACGCTCCGGCCTTTCTTCACGTGGTTGGAATGTCGAACTTAACCCTTTATTTCGACCACTGGGGTAGACTGTTCTAGTTCCACGTTCTCCATTACCTTAACTGAGTATTAAACTCACACTCTTTGGGACCTGTCACTGGATCTAACCAACGCCTTTATCCACTGTGTCCTTGACGGTTAAGTTCGACATTCCAACTACCTGAAGAAGGCCAGAGCGTACAACGGCCGAAACGTTGTAATAAATATGGCGACAAAGATGAAGACAATAGTCCGAATAATGTAAATAATGAACAATTTTTATTGCTAGTAATATTGTTTTGTCAAAAATTTGTTTCTGATAATATATTTCCTTCAAAATTGTATTGTTGGTAATAATTTTTTCAAAAATGTATTGCTGGTAATAGTTACCCATAGCTCGGACTCTAACATGTGCTACCACCCCGGGTCACGGTGGACCTGGGAGCACCAGCGATGAAGAGGGGGTTTCACGCTCCTGAAAACCTCCTGAACAGAGGCCTTACAGCTGGACGTAGTTTATCGTATTACCCAGGATGGGGACGTAGTTTACCGTCTTACCCAGAACGGGGATGTATTTTAACGTGTTACCCAGGACGGGGATGTATTTTAACATGTTACCCAGGACAGGGATGTAGTTTATCGTCTTACCCAGGAACGGGGATGTAGTTTAACGCCTTACCCAGGACGGGGATGTAGTTTATCGTCTTACCCAGGACGGGCATGTACCCAGGACCCAAACAGGGATGTGGTTTAACGCCTTACCCTGGACGGGGATTTTACCTCTTACCCAGGACGGGGATTTATCGTTTTACCCAGGACGGGGATGTATTTTAACCTGTTACCCAGGACGACTATCGAAAGTGGGAAATGAAGACTGCCCAATTCATGTTCATATATGGAAGCAGTCCTCCATTCTAGGCCTCATCATAAATTAGTAGTAGGATATTTTTCTTTTGAATAACAATATGATATGCACGGTAATTTACTCGGCAAAATATGTCCATGTCTGGTACATGGGCATACTTATGAGCAACGGAATCATGAGACGAGGTTATTAGTCCGCGTGACGTGATTTGCTAACGATTGCGCAGCCGTCGACATTTTGATAAAAGGTGCGGTTTTGTGTGTGTGTGTGTGTGTGTGTGTGTGTGTGTGTGTGTGTGTACGTGTACGTCAAAAAGAGAGAATGAAATCGAGAAAGGAAAAGAAAATTTTTATAGATGTGTGTGCAGACATTATCATCGGCAGACGCTATCTCTTCTTGTAGTAACGTAATTCTGCGTTTTATTTTATCCAGGGTTGGCAACTGTTTTGTTGGATCCCAAAAGCAGACGCTGCCGATCGCTTGCTCGGCTAATAATAGACAAACTCTAGCCAATCTCTAGGACAGTAGCCAGCCATTTCGCCGGATCCAATGTCTGATTTTGTCGGATAGCGACAGAGAAGCGGAAGGCAGAGCTAAAAGCGCGGCTCGCAAAGAAGACTGGTGTGGGTGTTTGCGTGGTTGCGTTGTGAGGGACGGGATGTGAGTCATAGTTGAAATAACAAAAATGGCGGACAATGCCTGGATTGCAGTGTTTCTGACTCAGGCCATTTTAACATCAACCTAATTATTCTTTCTTTTTTCGATTCCCTATTTAGCTCAATATATTTGCTAAGACCAGGCCAGTATGACACGAGAGTAAATCGGTTGAAATTGAAGTACAACACTTTGAATAGAGACTGCCTTTATTCTTTGAAACAATGAGACGACTTAGCATTAAATGGATTCGTTTAGATATTTCAGTCACAAAGAAGTAACTCCGATATGAGCTTAGCGTACGACATTTTTCGAACGTGCTTATCTATCTATCTATCTATCCATCTATCTATCTATCTATCAACTCTGATATGTCTTCAAATTCATGTTCACGTTTGCATTGGTTCATAAAGAGAAATATTTAAGTCTATCTATCTATCTATCTATCTATCTATCTATCTATCTATCTATCTATCTATATATCTACTCTGATATGTGTTTTCAAATTCATCCTCACGTTTGTATTGGTTCACGGAGAGAAATATTTAAATCTATCTATCTATCTACTCTGATAAGCGTCTTCAAATTCATCCTCACGTTTGTTTTGGTTCATAAAGAGAAATATTTAAATCTATCTATCTATCTATCTATCTATCTATCTATCTATCTATCTATCTATCTATCTATCTACTCTGATGTGTGTCTTCAAATTCATGTTCACGTTTGTATTGGTTCATAAAGAGAAATATTTAAATCTATCTATCTATCTATCTATCTATCTACTCTGATACGTGTCTTCAAATTTATGCTCACGTTTGTATTGGTTCATAAAGAGGAATATATTAAATCAATCTATCTATCTATCTACTATAGATAGGTGTTGAAACTTGACTAATGCATGGAATAATAATGCAACACAAAATGTACTTAGGACAAAATATATTGAAACAAGAAAGTGTGCACAATATTTACATATAGTCTTTTGTACACTCCTGGTAAGACCGTTCCTGGAGAATGTGTTGACTGAGTTGCAGTCGTGCAGAGTCTCTGGTTGAATCTCTTGATTCCTCCCTCTCTTCCCGGTACCAACCATATTTATATGGTCGGTACTCCACTATGCAAATTAGGTGGATCCTACCACAACAATAGGTGTCTTTGAATTCATGCTCACATCTGTATTGACTCATGAAGAGAAATATTTAAATTTATCTATCTATCTAAGCTAGTAAAAAAAATCTATCTGGGTGCCTGTCTGTCTAACGATCCTAATTCAAGCTTGCTCACCTTCACATGGTTTTCCAATCTGTATATATGATTTATTGTGACACTTGAATCTCCGGGAAAAAAAAAGAAAGTGAGAAAGAAGGAAAAGGAAATAGTCTACTAACTGGATGGTAATTGTTAAAATTCTCAGGAAGATGGATTGAAAAGTTGAGAAGAAAATTAAAAAACTAAATGCGTTGAAAAATCATGTTTTAAAATAATTCCAAAGAGAAGTGAACCTAAATGTAATGAGACGGAATTCATTAAGATTTAGATAAACGAAGACAATCCGCCCTTTTCCTCCAGTTGCCGCCGATGGGAAAGAGACAATTAAGCTATCCGCAGAGATGTCAGATAAAAAAGAATATGTTGTCGATAAAGAAACCAGCGTGGTCACCGAAATAACATTTAAAGGCCGGTCTGAAAAAAAATGCCAGGAAAGAAAATATTTGGTTTGTATCAGCCACCAAGAAAAGAAGCGTCCCCACAGAGATAGAGTCCGACTTAATGCATGCAGCATTTATAATTTCTGTGACACTCGTTCAGAATTCGGATTCCTTTGAATACAAGTTATAAAGTAAAAATTATTTACTATTTTGAAGAGACCATGTACAAAAAGGCTGTGTGGTCTGTTGACCGTAAAAACGCGTAAACAGAGGAAAGATAAACTTTTGTCTTCATCACTAGAGCGAATGGAAGAAATTTTCTTTCCTTTTGTTTCCCAATTCTTCAGTGGTCAGGCCGATTGAGAAATCACAGTATGGAACAAGCTGATAAAAAAAGATTAATGACTGAAAAACCCTTTTTATTTTCGAAGTTTGATTCGTCACACCAGCCCTAGGAGTTAGCTGCTGAGAAAGTGGGAGAAAGAAGAGAGAGATTAGCACCGCCTATATGTAGCAATGGTGTGAGGTGAGACGTGAAGGGAGTTGGCATTAAGGGGCGGCTTGATTCATATGGTCACTCTCAAAAGGGAGCTAGACAACACGAAATTCATAAAATCACATGAGTAAATTTATTTTTATATATGGAATTTTAGTAAAGGTCGATGCATAGGAGAAAAAAAAAACAACCGAAACCAGACCCTAGTCAACCCCACTCTTGCCGGACGCAGGATTCCATATTAGCCGGAGGTTTAGACAATTTGTAGAGAGTCCCGAAACTACTGCTACTGGAATCCACATTGTTCGTCGAGACTATCTGATCAAGACCTTGTACCGACCTTGAAGAACAGAAATTAGACAGTTAAGTTAATATTAAAACAAGCTACAGACTCCAAAGGGGATCCCACTGTCATTTGTTCATAAAAACAAATAGGAAGGGTTAAAACCGCTGTATACAACAAAACAGAAAAATTGTCTAATGTTTAGATTAAGCTTTGAATCGTTTTATCTTAAAAATGATTAAAGATATCTTACTGGAAATCACCGAGGGTTTCATGACTCTATTGGACCCTACTTTCAGCAATAAGAAGGTTATCATGAGTATAATTTCAGCAATAAGAAGGTTATCATGAGTATCGTGAGGAAATAAATGAAAATTAGATATTCATCATTAATTAATCATAGCTAAGAATTTTCATGAAGTATTGAAGTTCAAATATGTATACACAACCAACACACACGCACACACATATATATCATTTCAAGTTCATTTTCTATCTTATTCAAGATGATCTTTGCCATCTATAACGTTCTAAAATTCTTTCTTAGAGTAACAAGTTGCCTTATATTCGCTGCTCTTTGGACTGTCATAGCTGAAACTCCTCTCTCACGTGCCTAACGTCTTATGAATTGAGTTGGATCGTTTTAGACATTTTGAGTCATGCAAGTTAACGTTTGAGTCAGAATAATTGATCGATATTGAACTAATGAGATTGTTCCCATTAATATCTGTTATATATATATATATATATATATATATATATATATATATATATATATATATATAAAACATTTGAATACTTAATTCAGCGGAGGATAAACATTGGCAGAGTTATTGGAGAGTGCACTGATTATCAAATCTTTCATATGAAGAAGGTATTTCTTAATGACCAGTCCTCTGGAAGATTTGAGACAAAAGCAGGTGTTCTCCAAGGCTGTCACCGAGGCTCTACCATTAGCGATCTGCCTACGAACATTCTCATAGCATTAGTAAAATATGTATGAAAAGGAATAACACGGTTTATGGGACCACCACTAAAAATCTAGATAATCAGAGTCTGGCAGCTGATCTAATCTCTGACATTGACGCACAGCTTAATGGAGGTGGGATCAACTAACTTCTAACATACAAAGCCTCATAAACTAAGCTAATACCGTTTCTATTCTTAAAGACCAGGCACTTTTCTCCAGTCATAATATATTACTTGTGTCGTAAACAGGAAATGTTTACACACCTATAGAAAACAAGAAGTGGTTTATTCCGGAGAATAATATTGTACACGTTTGTAAACACAGATTAATGTAATAAACAGTTAATCGTTAACTTCTTGGTATTTATCCTAGTCTTCTCCTATGTTTTTCGAGCGCGTACGCTCGGGCAAAAATTCCTCTTGGACCCCGCAAAAACAGGGTCGGGTAGCTGTCTACATCCTCAAAAAGACTTTACCGTAGGCACAGCTTCTTCTGGGTTCATCATCGAAGTTAAAGAGGTCGAACAGCAGAGCTTTAACGAAATTTAATTGTTAACTGCTCTCATTCAGTAAGAGAGAGGGCTGTTTAAATAGTCCTAGACAAGTCTATAATGTGGTGGCGTTCAGCTATTCCACAACACTACTGTACTGTCAATAATGATCTTTGCCTGAAACGACTATTGGAGATCAGATTCATCTCAGACCTCAAGTGAAATTCGTATATAGGATCCAACGCTATAGATGATGGGAAAATGTCACTTCCTATTACCACACTAGAAAGTACCTGCCTCTTTCTATCATGCGCTGTATTTACAAAAGCAAGACCAAAGCAAAAAAAAAAGTATTGTTGCCATCTAGGTTAGAGCTCCGCAGTGTTTGACAGCGCTCAAAATCACGTGCGCGACATTGTGGATGATCTATTTTCAAATCTTGCAATTCCTTTACCCCAGGTGCAACATTGGTTGTTTCCCGATGCCTTATATTGCAATTCTCATTTTCAGACTGCCATGTCCATATCCAAGACCCTTCAGGCCATGTACAGTATACCCCCACAATATTGATATAATATATATAAAATGAGAATATCTGGTAACTACATGTCCCAGTCAAAACGAAATTAAACAGAGTTCAATAAAAAGATTTATTTATCAAAATTCGAAGATACCCAGAGGGATGTAGATTTTATAACCGATTTCACAATGCTTCTCAAATGTTCAAAATGCGCACCAACTGTGAAACGACCCACGTCAAGTCAGATTCCAGCTCCTGCCAAACACGTTGTAGCATGTATTGCGTAACTTTATCCAACGCCTAAGTGCCGTACGAGGAATCTGGGTTTCCATAGATACTTTTCTTACAGACTTTCTGGGACGTCGCATAAATGTTTCCCGGACCTGATTGACAATATGGTGGTCGTCCAGATCCTTTTGCCCTGCATAGACAGCCTTCCTTTTTTACTTTTTTGTTACCTGTCCAAAGCTGCTTTCTAGTTGGTACATTTGTTTTCGAAACATTCACGCTGCACACTCTTGTTTGACTGTGTTCGAGCATATTCTAACACCCAAATTTAATCTAGTTAACGTCATTCTTAATCATGTAAAAAGGAAAACATTAAACATTCAACTGAGTTTTTAGGCATTTTATTAAAATTTGAAATCATTTGAGCGTGAATTGGCTATGTTGTTAGACGACAAAATGGTATCAACTTTGGAAGACGTCCTGTATTTATTCTATATATTTGAGAGATATGCCAAGTCAATAGTCCAGCTCTTGCCAAACATGCTTTAGAATGTCTTGCGTGACATCTTCCAGCACTTCAGTGATTCTCTTAAGTTCATCTAGGCTTGTAGGAAAAACAGGAGATATAAGGAAAAAATTAGAAGGTGTCAAGTCAGGTGGCTGTTTACTGCACATTGTTATTATTAGTGGCATCCATTGTCCTTGTAGATTCTCATTGAGATAAGTCTTAACAGACAACTTAGTTTTTAGATATTTTATTAAAATTTTAGAACATTTGCTATGTTATTAGACGGTAAAATGATGCCAATGTTTTGGAGACACTCTGTATAATGTATAAAGCAATAAGCAAATGTGAAAATGTCTAAAATATTTTCTAACTACAAAATTATCATTAAAAAAAATATTCAAAATGGTTTTTTTGTTTTTTTTTTGTTCATCAAATAACAAAAGAAAATTGCAAAAAATTAAAAATAAATATTTAAATTTTTAATTATTTAATATATTTAATTATTTAAAATACATATTTAAAAGAAGTGAAGTTGATGGCATACATCCCCACGACAACCCTTTAATTCGAAGAGAATTGGATAATCCATCAAACGTTACATGAATTTCACTCGTGTTGGGTACAGTTCAAAAGAGTTTCTTTTAATGCCTTTATTACAGATTTATGAAA